GCGTCAGAATGGCTAGCTTATCGGTCCCTGGTCACAAATCTTTGTTCCGTTCGCTAACTAGTGAATTCGTAATGCTTCAGATATAACAATAGTGTATCTGAGAAAATAGTCAACATCATACAGAATTCGAACAGCGAACTACACTGCAAAGTGATGTATGGAGGCAAGCTGACAGACGCATTCCGAGTAAGGACCGCAGTCAGACAAGGCTGCTTACTCTACCCCTTTATCTGTCTTCTGGTGGTTGACTAAATTATGAAGACCTAGACATCTGATAGGAAGCACTGAATACAATAGACAGCTCGGAATCAAGCAGAAGATTTGCACTTTGCACATGATCTGGCAATCCTATCCCATAAACACACCAACAAATGCAGACGAAGACATCGAGTGTAGCTGAAGCCTCTGCATCAGTGGGCCTCAACATGCATATAGAAAAAAGCAACATCCCCAAATACAACACGGAGAACACCAAGCCAACCACATTTGATGGAGAGGTTCTGGAAGATGTTGAATCTTTCACGTAGCTGGTCAGCAGCATCATCGATGGACGTGGTGAATCCTATGCAGACGGAAAGGTGAGGATCGGCAAAGCAAGGGTCGCATTCGTAAAATTGGAGAATACATGGAACTGAAAACAACTGTGTGCAAGCCAACATCGAAGTCACAATCTTCAATACGAATGTCAAGACAGTTAGTTATATTGTACGGAGCTGCAACGTGGAGAATTGCTACAGCCATTGTCGAGCAGGAACAAGAATTTATAAACGGTTGTCTACTTGAAATACTCAATGTCCGTTGATCGCATACCATCAGCAACAACCTACTGTGGGAGAGAAGAAAGCGACTTTCAGCTGAGGAGGAGATTAGGAAGAGTTACTGCATGTGAATAGGAAATGCAATGTGGAAATCACCAAACTTCATCAGGAGGCATGCCGTAACTTGGAATCGTAAAAGGAAACGGGAAAGAGAAAGGCTGAATAACATAGCACTTCGGGACTTGGAAGTAGACATAAAAAGGATGAGTAGTAACTGGGAGTGACTGGAAAGGATTGTCGAGTACAGAGTTGGATGGAGAGTGCTTGTGAGGTTCCTATGCTCCTCGACATGGGTAGCAGACTTAGGTAAGTAAGTAACTGTTTTAAGTATGTTATACTCTTATCCGGCTGATCTTTTTCTATTTATAAATTAGTATCTTGCACGTTATGATTTTAATCTAAAAATTCCTTACTTAACACAATTCTGTATAATTGAACTTCAACAACAAAATATCATCACTACTCTTTAATCTACACTAGATAGACGGATTAAAGTTTGACATATTATTGCAGAATTGATAAGGTACTTCAATATACTGTAATTCACTTGAACGACTTTCTGTATTGTGCAGTTTCGCTAATGAAAGAGGCAACCCAAAGAAATGGTAGTCTACACATAAATCTCAACTGGAAACTATTATTGTCAAGTTATAAACTAAACTCTATGCAGATTGCAAACATTTTTCAATATCATTTTACACCTCATTTATTTGTAGAAAGTCCATTTTAATCAATAACGGATTACCATAAGATATAAACATTTCTATAAATGTTGTTTTCATGATCTCATTATATTATTTTTCCTGAACATTATTAATGACAATATAGTTTACATAAACCTAGATCTTACATCACATGTTCTGTATAATCAACAAAAAACATTACTAGTTATATTAACCAACATTGAACTATGAAAGTAAAACACTATTATCCCTTAGAAATCAAACTGAATATATTTGTGAATTAAAAGTAACGTATATCTAGTCAATGATACAAAATACCAGCTACTATGGATACGATTCTATCTTTATATGTTAAATTATGGTATGAGATGCCTATGTTTTACATTAGCTTGATAAATCTCACTAGTAAAAACAAAACATTAGACGGTTATTTTTGGCTATATTCAGGATTTTCATGGCATTATGATTCTCTAATAATTTATGATCAGAATGGGTTTTGTGGAGATTTAGTATTTTCATAGTTAAAAGCGTGAGTTAATCGAAGCTACACTACCAAGGAAAACCTGGAAGCACTGGACGGCCGTTTTGTCCTATTGTGGGACTCCTCAGCAGTGCGTATCCACGATCCCGCCTCGCGAGATTCGAACTCAGGACCTATCAGTCTCGCGCCAGTGCACTTAACCGATAGACCACTGAGTCGGCATCCGATAGTGTTTATTTCTAACTCCAACCAATCCACGAAGTTGAGTAACCGTTCACCAATTGCCTTCAGTGAGTTTCTATCTGACAACAGATATGTTTTGAACTCCACTGGTCACTGCTTCTCACTAGAACTCCAGGATTTACCTCTCGAAGTCAGTCACTAGTGAACATATGATTATAATCAGAAGGGGATTTTGTGGAGATTTTAGTAATTTTATATAGTTGAGATCATGAGTATTCTATTGAAAATCGTTTGCTTGTTAACACATGATTATCAATCAGAGTAAAAAAGTGTTCAAAACACAATTGAATTCTTCTTTTAGTTAGGTATATTGGTTATGGATACTGTGTGTATTCTTTAGTTTCTTATTCTATCCATTCCAACATTGGTCATCAAATTTATGCTGTTGTAATAACAAAAATAACACTAATGTTTACAATTAATAAGAAATTATTAAGTAAGCTTACACTATTCATTTAAAGGAAACTGAAACTCATAGGTGAACTTTGGCTTTACTGAATCCGTTCAATTATTCAAACTAAATAACCTTTATTGTTTTTATCTTCATTTCCACTTGTAATGTTCTTCTTTTTACACCATTTTACCATATTTCACAATTTGTGTACTGTTTTTTTCTTGCAATATTATTATTATGATCTTGTCTGATAAACATTTTTGATAGACATCAACATTTCCCCATACACATAAATATTTATCACTATTGAGGACACAAAAATTTAGTGATATATGAAGTGCTGGAAAATATTTGTAGCTCGAGATGAGAATTTTGAGGGCGTTTTATTCTCTTAGCTGGATGATTTATTCGTAAAGCCTTCATTGTCTTCCTTGTGGCTCAATGGTGTAGTGGTTAAACGTTCGCACGTGAGATCGAAGGTCCTGGTTCTAATTCCGCGATCCGGATCGTGAGCGCGTATAGATGAAGGGTCCCATACTAGGACGAAACGACTGTCCATGGCTTCCTAGTTTAGCCCCCGAATGCCCTGGTACGGCCGAGAATGGGGAGAGCTTGGTCTCCCGCTCGAAATCCTCTCAAATGTCCACATGCATACAACCACTGACAGGGAAGTCGTTCTCACTGACCTCTCACTACAAGCATGTTGTTTACGAAATCAAGAGGACGAAAAGCAAATGTCCAGTGCTTTAACCGGGTTAGTGGATATGGAGGATCCACTTAAGTGAGTTGGAAAACCCTGATTCAAAACCAATGGTATACATGGACACCATGATCGTGAGGGAAGGAAAGGCGTATGAACCTATTGTTGGTGACCGTGTACCATGGGACTGTATCTGTTTATGTTCATCTACTTCCTTGTGAATTAGATCTTCAGATGAAAGGCTTGTGGTGTGGCCCTCTCTGAAAGCCACCTTATTTGGTTTAGGTACCCGGTCAGTTTCCCAACCCTCACGTAAATCGAAACCAAACGCATCAGCCTAAACAAAATCGAGTACAGAAACCAAAAAACAGGTTATCGTACCATATATAAAAAGCATATCAGAAACTACAATGAGATTGTTGAAGCTTTTTGGTATAAATGTAGCACACAAGCCAACAAAATCACTTCAATCAATCCCATGCAAACGGAAGGACGGAACAGCAAAAGAAGAAAAACCGAACATCATTTACAAAATAAATTGTTCCAACTGCCAAAAACACTACATCGAATAAAGTGGACGTCCTATTCATCTTTACCTGAACGAACATAAAAAAATAACAATCAAATGCCATGATATGTCTTCGCTTATATCAATGCATGTGGACAATATTGGTCACATTCAACTGGGAAAATGTTGAGATCTTGGATAGAGGCAAATTTAAAAAATCAGAGAATTTTTTAAAGCTTGACACTCAGGTCAATCAGCAATCAATCAATCCAATTTATCACCCAATCAGAAAAATTATGGACAAATATAGGACGAAGAATCAAATTAATAATGAGGGATACAATCAAAATAAAGAAGTAAACAATGACATTTTAAAGGCCAATAATAGCTAATCAAGCTGTAAGTCATATGTGAATAAATTTGAACACTGATGATGTCGTTGAGAAGAACGATGAAAGTTACATGACTAAACCATTCAACTCATAGAACAAAACACCTTCAAATGTGATACGTTAGAAAAGTAAACAATTCTTTCTACTTTAAATTAGTTATATCAAATCGATTTTTGTAAAAGTCCCCTTTATGACGTGAAAGCTTTATAGACATTTGTTGATGATGACTTTGAGAAGAATGATGAAAGCCACATGACTGAACTATCCAACTCACAAAACAATTATTTCTACTTTAAATTAGTTATACCGAATCAATCTTTGGGAAAAGTCCCCTCTATGATGTAAAAGCTTTATAGACATTTGTTTTTCTTTTTTGTTACCTAATTGAAAACTTTGAGATCATTGAAAGCTACATAACTGAACCATTCAACTCACAAAACAAAACATCTTCAAATATGATACGTTGGAAAAGTCAATTTTGGGAAAAATCCCCTCTATGACGTAAAAGCTTTATAGACATTTGTTTTTCTTCTTTGTTACGTAATTAAATTCTTTTATTACTAATATTAAGAATAGTTAAAAGCGTGAGTCAAGTGAAGTTAGACCACCATGAAAAACCTGGAAGCACTGCTTGATGACCGTTTCGTCCTATTGTAGGACTCCTCAGTTGACTCACGCTTTCAACTATGAAAATACTAAATCTCCACAAAACCCTATTCTGATAATTAATATTAAGAATAGCTTATATAATCATTAAAATTTATTTTCTTTTATATTACAGAATATAATAATACATTTGACAATTTCAATTTTGGATCCATTAAAGATCATACTTATTATAAACGATCAAAATTTCAAATATTTTATGGAGATGATTATTTCAATTCCGAAAATAATAATAATAATAATCAATTAATCAAATTAACTAAACAATTAAATACTACTGAAATAGAATCACATTATATATGGAGTTTAACTTTTTCCCAACCAGCTTCACGTTATTATGAATTTAGACAAAAATTAGAAAAAGATTATATCTCATTAGAGAATATAAGTATCATTCAATCAACTAATCATCCCTATACATCATCAATTAAACTGAAAGGTACTATTAAAATTAAAAATATTTGTTATGAAAAATTAGTTTTTCTACGTTTAACTAAAAATAATTGGAAAACATTTAATGATTATCAAGCAATATATAATTCACAATTATCATTATATAATACATGGTCTAATATAAAACGTTATGATACATTTATATTTAATATTCATATAGAATCAGATCAAAAATATTTTGATCCAAATGATAAAATTGAATTTGCTATTTGTTTTACTGCATTAAATGGTCATGATCATAATCATAATAATAAGATCGAATATTGGGATAATAATAATCATGAAAATTATATTATTGAACAACGTAAACTTCGTCCAATTTTTATGAATATGATAAATGTAGAACAGTCACAATCATCTGATGATATGTTATTAATGACACATAATGAGGAATTATCTACAAACGATAAATCAATCAATATAAACAGTAATAATAATAATAATAATAATAATTGTAATATAGAATATAATATGCCTTCTTATACATTAGATTGTCGACCTAATTTTGATGGTTTCACATCATTTACAAATTATAGAGCATGGAGTCATTACTCTGGTGAAACAAACTATTATTAATATATATATATATATATATATATATATATTAGATGAATAGCCTTTGATTTATTATTATTATCCTTACTATTTTGTTTGTTTATTCCGCCTTAATATTTTTAGCTTATTACTTTCATTGTATAATTATGATAATCATCATTTATTAATTAATAAGGATAGCAACCAAATCAATTTATTGAATATAATTTATTTTTTTTAAATCAATAATTCCAATCTCTTTCAAAACAAAAATTCTTTTCTTTTCTCTCTTTTCTTTTTTTGTGAAACTTTTTATGAATGGAGAAAAAAAAGGAAAAGAACAGTTTCATTTTCTTTAACAACGACAACAAACCGCTAATTTTTATTCGTTACAACGTTGATGCCCTAATATTGTCTTTTTTGTCGTTGTTCTTTATTCATTTCTTTATATGCTCTCCCTCTCTCTCTCTCTTTCTCGTTTATTTGTTTATTTATTTCTTTATTGTAGTTAAAATAGAAAGTAATAGAGTTTGTTTTGTTTGTTTTTTTGTTCAGTTGAGCTTTTGTTTATATTAATTGTATTAAGGTTCAATGATTAATGGAAACAAAAAGAATGCTAGTCAAAATTCAATGAATATCTTCTTGTTGTAATTAGGGAAATATTTGAACTTGTTCAATAAGCATTAATAATGACTGGCTGATAATGATCAACCTAATCCACTGTTTTATTCGTATAGAATGCATTAGTTCATTTATGTATATACGTATGGCATGAAATCCATAGGTCAATTTTGTTATATTGATTGCCTGAGTGCCCAGTTTACATATATATATATATATATATATATATATATATATATATATATATATATATATATATATATATATATATGAGTGATAAGATCGCCAATGAAAGAGGAGTGAATTATCGACTGGAACAATGATACACAAAAGCTGTATGAGCAGTCTTAAGTACGTATCAGTCCTGCATTTTGTCTAGACCAGCCAGTTAAGTCCAGAACATCAATAACAGCCTCTGCTATATAAATAATTATTCTCAAACACATTGGGTCTATATATCAAACAAACTGACCACATAAAATAGAAAATAACATTTGTACAAGATTTAGTCAAATGTGGCTGTGAATAGGGGGAACAGTAATTAATTGACTACGGATAACTCAGGAATGGTTAATCGTATAATAATAGTTTATAGGTCAGAATAAAGCTTATAATATAAGGGACACGAATATGAGTAGTTTAGTTACTTAGCAATTATACAATAGGAAATATACATATCATATTTGTCCACAAATGGTTCTCAAAGTTACCATTCATAAACGTCCACGGGATATAACAAGTTTGTTTTGTGTATTTCAGGTATGTATGTAATGTTTACGTGTTAATATAAAGAGCTGCAAGTCCACCTTACCCTCTTAATAATACCATATCTAATAAAGCACTTATGCTTACGCATATGATAAAAGTGCGTAGATCCTCTACTTTTATATTTCTTCTATGTATATAACCCATTACCTAGAAAGAAGAAACCAGCAAACTATCCCTTGGAGAATAATGACATATGATCTCCACTGAAAACACATATTACTCCCGAGTATATGTGATGCTAAATTAAAAAAAACAATATTGACAAGAGTTTACAAATCTTGATAGTTGAAAGAGGACTATGACGTTTGATTCGCGTTATATTTGAATTCATATTGCTATAGATTTCTATATACTTTTATTTTTCAAGTCACTGGTGAGCACTGAATACAACTATACTAGAACACAATAGTGACTCCTAATTTTTGATGAATCCTCTCATAACATTCATAAGGTCATTAAAATTCGAAGAGTTACTCTTGAGATGGTATAGACCTTTAGTTCAGGTGGACGATTTGGGTGGAGTTTTGTTCTCTGGGCTGTATGGTTTGGTCGCGGGGCTTTAATTGTTCTTCCAAACAAAAACAAAGGCATAAACTTTAGATAGAAGTGGAGTATCCGAATTTCTCCACATGTGATTAATTGCCTGTCCTATCGAATTCAATCTTGATTGGTTAATACTGACCTTTAACCTGTCATTGTCTGAAACGCTATTTTGATTATCACACCCTTTGCTCTGATTGTTGATCCCACATTTGTCCAAAATTTTTCCAGTGGTGTTGTTCAGAAGAAAAGTGAAAGCTCTAGGACTAAATCACTCGGCTCAGAAGCAAAACCCCAGCAAATAGAGTTATTTTACACTGGTATTCCCTAACAGAACACACCCATGAATTCACACTGGATCAAGCTTTGAAGATGATTTTCAAACCTTATTAGAACGCCATTTTATATCTTATTATGTTGTGTTCCAAGTAGTTCAACCAGTTTTATGTATTAAAATGGAAATAAAATCACAGGAAGAATTTTCTGTTTAACTCGTAAAGTTCAGTAGCTTTTTCGCATGAAATTACGACCTATCGAAGCTCGGGCATCGTGAAAACTGTGGATCATTAGACATGCGATTCGTCCTATGACAGGATTTCTCTGAAATCCTCATTCACAACTCCATCACGAGTAATTGAAATCAGGACTTTTGGTCTAGCATGCTGACGTCTAACCTGGTTTCAATATTAAATAATCATACTCATGCATTATTATTGGTACAATGTTGTTAAGATGTTGGTCGCATTTAACCATATGAATGACTTGTGATTTCTCTTTTCATAATAGTATTAGCTTGATCATAATCAGTTTATAAAGTATTATAGTATTTTTGAATTAAATAAATCTAACTCAAAACTCACATGTACAGTACACTTTACCTCGGTAAATACACACTTCAGTACCTTGTGATAAAGTACATACCATTGAAGAAAACTGCATTGGTAACGAACCATTATCTATTTATAAGCTAATCTTTTATAATAATTAATAAAGAAATGATAGATTTAATTTACTTTTTTGTTAATGTTAAATTCATCTATATAACCAAGTTTATTTTAACACATGATTGTGTTTCATTAATTATGTTGTAAGATTCATTATTAAAACAATGCTTTTCAGACCATATTTAATCACTTTAAATAAGTAGATTATAAGTCTGTTCCTTCTTAATGAAGAAATGTGAATATTACTTCGTCCCGTAATGCCATGGTACGGCCGAGAATGGGGAGAGTTAGGTCTCCCGCTCGAAATCCTCTCAAATGTCCACATGCATACAACCACTGACAGGGAAGTCGTTCTCACTGACCTCTCACTACAAGCATGTTGTTTACGAAATCAAGAGGACGAAAAGCAAATGTCCAGTGCTTTAACCGGGTTAGTGGATATGGAGGATCCACTTAAGTGAGTTGGAAAACCCTGATTCAAAACCAATGGTATACATGGACACCATGATCGTGAGGGAAGGAAAGGCGTATGAACCTATTGTTGGTGACCGTGTACCATGGGACTGTATCTGTTTATGTTCATCTACTTCCTTGTGAATTAGATCTTCAGATGAAAGGCTTGTGGTGTGGCCCTCTCTGAAAGCCACCTTATTTGGTTTGGGCATCCGGTCAGTATTCCAGTCCTCACACAAGTATGTATTTGTTGTCTCCTTGTACCAATGTTTATGGTTAAATAAATAAATAAATAGAATATTAGTGTTATTGTATGTGAACATTATATTTAAAATAATCTCAGTGATTGAAATTTAAATAATTCCAGTGTTTCGTCCAGCTAACTTGTCTGGACTTCTTCAGGGTAATAATCAAAATCATCAAAGAATTATATAGCGTTTTTTTGAACAATCATATCAAAATCTATACTACTACATTAAGCCGATCATACTTGGATATTGAGTTTAGTAAATAAGATAATATGAGTCAGTTAAATGAGAACCATGTGACAATTTCACGATGTGAGATAAAAGAAGACTGAATGAATTGTGTATGTATGTGTAAGAATGAGTTATCAATGGATGATATTCGATGTTAATATGCTTTAATATGAAAATAAAAGTGCATATTGAAGGTTGAAAAATTGTTTCTGAATCATTGAATTGCAAGTTAAAATTGAGAATCATCAAGTACATAATTGTAATGCTGAAAATAACGGCATAGTCGAAAAGTCATGTCACTGGTTCTCGCTCACATGTTACATGATGTCGCGGATTTGTAGTGTCGTTTATTTATCAGCTAATCACAGCATTTTTCCGTCACATGTCAATTTTTTGTAATGTTTATGCTTGTTACATGGCGATTATTGCATTCTATTGGTTGCCTGATGTATTTGTTGATCACAACCTGGGTAAATGTTTAGTCAGCCTAGTTTGGTTATTTGTAGCAATGCAAACTCAGGCAAACGAAATTCACCATTTATCAAGTCAAAAAATAGACCGAAATTATAGTTTCAAGCAAAAATAAGCTCTAAAATCATTTACATATGACTCACCTCCCTTATTATGGTAGTGATGAACATGGGTGTTAGCAGTTGTTCATAAATTGTAGATTAAAGCAATTGGGAGTCAAACTATTCATTACTATTGTGATGAGATTTCAGATCAGATTTCATATTACTAATTACAGTTTTTGCATCCGTTTATTTGATGCCTGCAGTTTGTTTGTTAACCCCAAATAAGTAAATGAAATTCTGGAAGGGTTAGAAAATGAAGAGAACTGTTTACAGCAAATAAGACACTTATAGGTACATCCTCTTAGCTTTTGTTTCATTAACTTATTGAATTTGATACTGATAACAAAGTTTCATCGTTTGTTTCATGATTGATTTGTTGTTTTTCAGAATTTCATTGAGCGACCTAGGAACCTATTCATACGTTTTCTGTTATAAAACTTATGACTTCTGTCAAGTAATTGAAAGGTTCCAACCTTTGTAATAATTAAGTCTATGCAGGTGAACAAGTTTACGAATTTCTGAATATGGAAGATTATGTGGAAGAAAAATTTACAAATTAACGAAAACTAAGTTTCATATTGACTACTGAATATAAATAAGTTAAACATAATGAGCACGTCTGCAAGACTGAATCATGCCATCCGATTGAATTAATGTCTCCACGTCCACCACTCCCGACCTTCTCCAAGTCTTACATGTCGAATAGACATCTTTTCAATTATTATATGCTTGACTCCGGAGACCATGTGATTAGAAAACAATACCACTACAATTATTCATCCGAATATACTGATCGTAAAGAGGACTGCACGAAGAGAAATGTTTGAGAAATTTCAGTCTTACCTAGTCATTGATAATTCTTAAGTAAAAATTGTCTAGTTTTTTCTCCCCAATAATAGCGAAGTGTTCACCATATTTTTCAATTATCTGTTGTTTGTGGATATTTTGGCTTCTTTGAATCCGTATATACTCTTCACTCCGTCTTGGTAATGATGTTGTTGTATTATAATGGAAGTTATGTGTACTATTTAACTTCCATCGGCTGCATGGTCTAAGAATGTGATGAGCTAATTAGTTTATTTATTTCGTAATTGATTAAGCTTACCTGTAAGAGTTCGCCTTTTTACATATGCCAGTAGTATATGACGACAAGGATATCGGCAAGTCATAAATGTTCAACAATTGCACTCGCAAGTGCCTACATCCACCCCATAATTTCTCTAAATTTATCCAACATCCAGGTTACATCTG